GACACACACACATCTGTAATCTTTAGCTACAAAGATTTTTATTTCTTCATCCTCTACTCTCCACAAACTAGTTATAATAAAAGAAATGCAGCGATTTATCAGCCAACACTTTAAACAAATCGGTTGTCAGCTCATTGGCCATTAAGTGGGAACGATTTGAATATTCTTATATATGTTTTTTTTGCTAATCAAATAACAACAATGTGTCAGAGGATGGTTTTACATCATGCATGCAGCAGTGGAGACAGTAACATTACAGCCATACACACACACACACACACACACACACACACACACACACACACACACACACACACACATGTTAATTTGATAGATGTCAGCCCTCTCTTGGGAATAGAGGTGCATGAAGCTCCTTCTGCAGTTAGGAAAGTATCATTCTGTGCCTGTGGGAGAGCGGCTGAAGCCAGCAGCCGTCACACAGCAGATCCCTGTTGGATACGTTTTCTCATTAGTGTTTGTATTCCCTCCGCTGGAGAAGCCACACCGACAGATAACAGAGGCCCGGTGAAAGGCTGGCATCCATTCAACACGAGCAACAGTTGCCAGGGAAACCCATCGGCAGTTTTCATGGCCGCTGTTTTTGTTTCCACCTTAAGAGTGCCTCGCTGCACAAGAGATCGAGGTTAAAACAGCTGCAGAGTTTAACATCTCAGGCCATGTTTGTGCTTCAACTTTCATCAAAGATAGTGCTTTTTCTCCACAGCACAGAGGCATAAAGGGACTTTGGGGTTCAGTGAAGGACACATAAACACGAGAGAAACTTGAGGAGGAAAACTTCAAAAGATTTCTAACCAAGGACAAAGCAGAGATCGAAGCAGAGATTTAGCTGGAATTATAAAGTAGACATTCTGGTTTAATGTCTTTTATGTTCAGAGGAAGAAGTGTCTACAAAGAGCGAGCCTTTCTAAGGATACATGCTGATAAATCTCTACAGTGAAGGTCAAACTTTTGAATATTTAGTCAGTTGTCTCTCTCTTTCTAGATGGTTGTGTACCGGCATAATGTTTGCTGAGATTTAACATGAAGCAAGCCCTGAAGTTCGTTAATCTACACACAAAATAACATGTAAGATTCAAGTTTAAATGCAGGTTACTTTGGAGAAACAACTAGATAAAGCCACATTATCCAACTGAAGAACCCAACCCAGTGTTGACACATCCCTAACAATGACAGTATTCCATATCCCCAGGACCGCCTTCTTCCATCTAAAAAAACATTGCCCGCCTCCGCACCTCACTCTCCTTCCCGGCTGCTGAAACCCTCATCCACACATTCATCACTTCAAGACTGGACTGCTGCAACAGCATCCTGTATGGCTCATCATCCAAAATTCTGAATAAACTGCCATATATATCCAGAACTGCGCTGCCCGCCTCCTCACCCACACCCCCTCCAGAGACCACATCGCCCCCGTCCTTCAAAACCTGCACTGGCTCCCTGTCCGTCAACGAATACACTTCAAAATCCTTCTGCTAATACACAAAGTTCTCAATAACCAGGCCCCCCCCCTACCTCACCGACCTGATCCACCACCACACACCTTCCCGCAGCCTTCGCTCATCAGAAGCCAACCTCCTTTCTATCCCCACAAGAACCAAACACCGAACCTGGGGGGACAGAGCCTTCTCCATTGCTGCCCCACCCTCTGGAACTCCCTTCCACAACACATCAGA